GCGGGCGGGCGCGGGGCGCGGGGCTGAGCGGGCCTGAGGGAGGGGGTGCCTGAGGGGGAAATACAGTTGCGTATGTGTACATATATACACCGCTTACAAGTTGTTGTTACAAGTTTATTAATACACACGTACGTGTTCACAGGGGGCAGGGGGACCTGAAGGCTGCAGCCTTCTCCTGCAGGGTGGCTGTGGGTGGTGTCGGGTCGTTGAGGCTGTGTGTCCGTCTAGTCCATCCAGCGGATCCGAGGTGGCCGGGAGCTGGGGTTGTTCAGCGTCTCTTCGCTGGCACGTGTATTGCGAGGTGGCTGTGCCGCCGAGTGAGCCAGCTCCTTGCCTCAGCACGCCGAAGGGTGCAAATTGCTCTGTCAGTCCATGTAGGCGCAGTGGGTAATGACGTTTCCTTCCCAGTCTCCCCGCAGCGATGCTGTAAGATGGTGGGCCTGTTCAAGATGGGCCCAGTTCTTTAGCAGCATTGACTGATGCGCAGAGAGCTCAACTGACACAACAGGAAAGAAGCTTACCTGTCACCACGGCAAATTTCCAGTTCAGCACGGTGAAAGACTTTCCTCGATGTATTGTTACACCTAGGACAAGCTTCTTAAAGACCGAATGTCTTCAAAATTGTGACAAGCCTCACGATGCGCCTACTGCAAAAGCTTAGTTCTCTGCCATAGTCATCCCAAGCTTTATAACTAACATTTATAAGTTGTTTGTCTGCTTTTCCTAAAGTCTGTATCATCTTTTCTGCATTATCATTTCCACCTCACTTCAGTCCCGTGCATACAAATCGGGAGCCCAGGAGGCTACTTGCTTATCAGAGAAGCTGGTGCAGTGGATGGGACAACATAGTGCTTTGATTCCGCCAGTGCTGGTTTCAATAGTTAGTACCTACCTTTGATGAGTTATTAACCTCTGTTTCCCCTAAGGTACTCCTTAGGCAGTGAAGAGAGAGCCCTGCTACAAATAACCTTTAAAGTTGAGCCATCTATACTGGTAAAAGAGACCCCTGCCCCAGGTCCTTACAATCTCTTCCATCGGTAGGTGTGGGATCTCCCAGTGCATTTTCTTTGTAACCAAGGCTGTCTTTCTGCAAAAGAGGACGCTGATGTTAGGCTAACTTAGTACCATTATGTAATTAACCCCCAAATTTCTTAGTATTGTGTATTGCCTTGAGAAGTTCTACTCTGCCACATTGCCAACGTAATACTTGTAACAAAAAATATCTTTTAATTCATCATTACAGTAAGCTTGGCTTCATAACAATTTCTTAGCAGCAGCGCAGCAGAGCAGGGGCCAGCAGGCTGCATTGCAGTACAAGGGAAAGTGGGAGACACCCCTCCCTGCAGGAGTGTATGAATGTGTACATGTGTTGCACACACAGCTGGTGCTGCTGCTTTTGTCATCGTCCACCTCAGGCTCTGACACACAGCTGCTAGACAGCCGAAGCCTCTTAGGGCTTTCGCAACCAAAAAGAAACTGCTGACTGTTGCTAGTAAGAATCCAGCATTCTTGGCAGCACAGAGTAACTTGCTTGCATTGCATGGAGAGCCACTGAAGAAAAAAAAAAAAAAAGAGGCGTGAGATAAAATATCTTGCTATTTTGACACACAGCTGCTAGACAGCCGAAGCCTCTTAGGGCTTTCGCAACCAAAAAGAAACTGCTGACTGTTGCTAGTAAGAATCCAGCATTCTTGGCAGCACAGAGTAACTTGCTTGCATTGCATGGAGAGCCCATAAAAAAAAAAAAAAAAAAAAAAGAGGCGTGAGATAAAATATCGCTTGCTATTTTTTGCATGGGTGATTACAACTTAAAATATGCTGCTTGTTCACTTTCACTATTGCCTGATACCAGATCTAATTCTGTACTTTGCAGATGAAATAAAAGGGATTTTTTTAAAACTTTTCATTCAGCAGTCCAGCATATGTAAGTGCTGAGCTTCACATGCAAATGTGAACCTTGTGCTGAGGGGTTGTGTCAGTTTCACTACTCTCTTCTGCTCAGAATATGTTAAATGTAAACTACTCATTCTGATTTTTGTGGTTGCTGGTTATGGTATGAAACAGTTCTGCCCAGTTTGTGGTGGGGCGAGGGTTCATTTACGTGGTGGCTGTTTAGCTCTGCTGTAAGGGCTTGTAAAAGCCTCAGCATAACTGGGAATCGACTCCAAAGGCTGTGAACTGCTAAGGACAACGTTTTTCCTGACCGTTTATTTGAACTTTGAGAAATAGAATGAGAAAAAAAAAAGCTGTGATTTTTTTCTTCCCCTGGTACTGAGTGGTACAGGAACTTAGGATGACTCACTGTACGGGGCCTAAATTAAATAAACAAGTTCTTGGTGTTTCCTCTACCTCAGCCCCTTTGGCTCCATAAAATAGGTTATGGCAGAGCTTGACTCTCCAGGTCTTTCTTCGGGCTGCTTCCCATCAGTTGCAGAATTGAGGGCTGGTTTTTTTTCCCAGAGTACTCTTGTCTTTCAGTTTCACAGTACTCCTCCTTGACAGCCAGTGCTTGGGTTTTCTTCATTTTGTGTCTGAAGTATTTTGAGTAATTGCCCTATGTTCAGACTGGAGTATCACACTTGCTGGCTTCTTTTACAACAGTTTGTATGCTGACTCAGTGAGCGTACAAACCTCTTCTATGCAAACAGAAAAACTTACATTGATTTGAAAGAGATGTGAGATGAAGCCCAAAAGTTAGAAAGAGATTTTGATGGCAAATGCATACAGCGATTACTTTTTGTTCTTCAGAACTCCTAGATTTTCATTTCCAAGTAACTTGATCTCCCTGGCACAGTTACTCCAACTTCATGCCACTGTGGCTTTCTCCTGCTCAACTCTTCTCAGTCCATGATTCCCCAGTAACTACTGTCTTCCAAATGGATGTGTATGTTTTCATGTCTTACAAGTTGCTAGGCGAAGCCATTAATTACAGCTGGCTCTTGCAGAGGGGGAGTAAAACACAGTGAAACCAACGTGTAGTAGGGAAGATAACTGCAAAGTCTTTGTGCCTCCGGTACACCTTTCCCTGCAGCCAGGTTTCCTTAGGTAACCCCAGCGGTTCTGGAAGTTGGAACGATGCGCACATTTAAACCACACAGAGGGACATGAGTCAGTGCGGTCCCCTTTCTGACTGAAAGAGCTATCCAAAGCTTAGGATCTTGATGGTAGTTTATCAGAGTGTGTATACATGCTGTGGAGCCTACAGTAGCTTTCAGCTGGAGTCTGTGACCTCCTAGGTCTCTCTCAGTAACGTTGCATTTAATGGAAGGAGAATCTGACAGCCGAGACAGTAAACAGGTCTGATGCAAGCCTGCTTATTTACAGTGAATGTGCAAGGACCTGATTCTCTCAGCTGCTGGTCACCCGGTAAAAGCAGTTTTGCTGTTGTTGGTAACAGACCACAGTCCTTATGCTAACTGTGAGGCCAGAGGACCAGGGTCTGTTGTGCTTGTTGACGACTTGTGAGAACTTACTTTGTGAAAAGAAGCTTTGTAAGGATGTCTCACGTTCCGATGTGCAGTTTGAGTATAAGGTAATAGCAAAGGCCTTAAAAACTTGGATGTGGGCTAAAAGAGCATCCCCAAGGCTATAAAAAATTCACTAGTAGTCAGTTACTGGTCATGGACGAAGTACAGCCTTGAGACCTGAGAAAAACTGTATCATAAAGAGAAAAAAGAGGAAGAAGCTAAGCAAGAAAAATGTTGAGCAACAGGATAGTATGCCTGACAACCTGGGAAAGTAACACCGTCAAGCCTCGCAGTGCGTGAAGTCCATCAGGCAGAGGCCTAAGGCTAAGACCCTGCTTAGAGAGTCAAACATCTTAGGATAAGATCTCACCACTGAGTGAACTTTCTCACTACGCATATTGGTTCAAAGCTGTGAGCATACTCCTGGCTTCAAGGACTCTGACTGCTTTGGACCCTTAGACTCGACAGCATTGCCCAGGGCTGTGCATAACAAGATCAGTGTGTACATGTCTGTGTGTTTTTACCTCAGATAATGTGTTTCACCTCTTCAACCACCAAAAAAATCCCTATTGCATGTTACTACAGTTTGTCTAGTTACTCTTGGTAAAAGGCTCTGCAGTTTCTCTGGCAAACATCAAGGCAAATACTTGCATCAGTGCTCGTGGTTAAGTCAGAGCATTCAATCTCTGCACTAACTTGCAATAAGTGCCTACACCCTGTTGCCTGGGTCATCCTACTGTCTTAGATACCTGTATGTTATTAAGGCTGCCAATCATTATTAGCATTACCATAATTTTTACCAAGTCCTACACAGATATTAGGACTGATGTCCTAATGATGAAGAATATGAAGGTGATTCTCGCCTGTCCTGGTTTCGGCAGGGATAGAGTTAATTTCCTTCCTAGTAGCTGGTACAATGCTGTGTTTTGGATTTAGGGTGAGAACAAAGTTGATAACGCACCGATGTTTTAGTTGTTGCTAGGCAGTGCTTACACTAGTCAAGGACTTTTCAGCTTCCCGTGCTCTACCGACTGAGAAGGCTGGGGGTGCAAAAGAAGCTGGGAGGGGGCACAGCTGGCACAGCTGACCCAAACTGGCCGAAGGGCTATTCCATACCATGTGACGTCATGCTCAGCATATAAAGCTGGGGGAAGAAGAAGGAAGGGGGGGACGTTTGGAGTGATGGCGTTTGTCTTCCCAAGTAACCATTACGCGTGATGGAGCCCTGCTGTCCTGGAGATGGCTGAACACCTGCCTGCCGATGGGAAGTAGTGAATGAATTCCTTGTTTTGCTTTGCTTGCGTGGGCGGCTTTTGCTTTACCTATTAAACTGTCTTTATCTCAACCCACGAGTTTTCTCACTTTTACCCTTCCGATTCTCTCCCCCATCCCACCAGGGGGGGAGTGAGCGAGCGGCTGCGTGGTGCTCAGTTGCCGACTGAGGTTAAACCACGACAGTCCTTTTTGGTGCCCAACGTGGGGCTCGAAGGGTTCGAGATAATGACAGGTTTGATTGGAATGTGCTAGATCGAATTTATACCTGTTATAGCTGTTTAGCTATTAATTGGCAGGCTCCTGTGCTTGCCATGGGGCTTGCTTTCCTTACTGTATATTAGAGTCTAGTGCTTGTTAGTGGCTGCTTTTTGCTTTCGCTGTTGCTGTACTGCTGTACTGCTTATCATCATATTCTACTGTGCCTGGGAACATTTTGATAACAGCAGTGGCGATGTGCCTGGGCTGGCAGATGGCCAGGGCATCGCTGCTGTTTCTGTGCTGCTGTACTGGACAGGCTGGAACCCCCGTGTGAACTCGAGTCGAAGGGACTGTGACCTGTGGATGAGTCCATGCGGGAGCAGGACACCCCAAAGCGTCTGTGGCCGTGGATAAGCCCATGCCACAGCAGGTGCATCTCGAAGCGTCTGTGGCCGCGGTTATGTTTGTGCTACAGCAGGTTTACTTCTGAAGGGACTGTGGCTGCGAGTAAGGCCACGCTGGAGCAGGTATATCTCTGAAGACATTGTGGCCCATGGAGAAGGCCGTGCTGGCATAGGTGCATCTCAAAGTGACTGTGGATAAGTCTATGCCGCAGCAGGTGTACCCCTGGAGAGACTGTGGCTCATAGATAAGGCTCCACTTGGAGCAGGTACTACCCTAAGGGACTGCAGTCTGTGGATAAGTCCAAGCCAGAGCAGGGGCAAGGGGAGGAGTTTATTGCAATGTTAAACCCTATGGTTTGATCCAAAGGGACCAGGGGTGGAGATTGTAATGGAAATACCTTTAAATTGTTGTAACCCATGATTTGAGTTGCATGTTAGAGG